CAAGTGGCTCTTTAGCACGCTGCAGCAGGCTGTTGCAGTCCCAGTCTGCTCAAACTGGCTGGCTGCTTCTTGTGGATCTCTGCTCCAGCCACCAGGAGGAGGGAGCTTTCTGCTTTACCTATGTCCCCAGTAAAGTGATCACCCAAAAAGGGTGATGCTTACCAGTTAACCAGTTACTTCCCTAACTTGAAGAAGTATCTGCACCAGAATAAAATGCCAACAATGTGGAAAAAATTCATTTCCAGAATCAGTGAGCTGCCTCTGCCTTTGATATATAGCAAGAGCCCTGCGGATTGCCCGCTGTGTCTATCTGTCTTTTAAATGTAGTAAGAGCTGCAGACAGCTCTTACTACATTAAAAGGTAGAGCCACAGCCAGGATAGCGAGCACCCCGCCCCACCCCTTATCAACTAATCGATGGAAATTCCATCCACTACTCTATTAGCTGATTAATCGAAATTTAACACCCCTACCCCAGAGATATGAGATGGGAAATAGGGGTATTTTAAACAATGCCAGAAGATGTATATACACCCCAATTTATATACACACAGCCACCAGTCCCTACAGAAAATGACAATAGGATAGGCAGGTGGATTTGAAAGCCGAGGAATGGGACAGGGAAGGGTTTAAGAACATCTTCCCTCAGAGTTTCAGAGAAATGTTCTTAAATCTAAACCCATTTACTTGGGATTTGCTCTATTTATAAAGATTCTGCCCTTCAGGAAGTGAAGGATAGCTTATTTCCATGCCCTAAAAAGGCAAAATATTAACATAGTATAGGACTACACCGGAGCAATTTTTATTACCTGAATAGGAGGTACCGCACTTGGAAACATTCGGTGTCTTCCTTAGCTAACGCTACTGATTCCAGTGTTACCAGTATTCCGCATAGTCTACTTTCCTCCCCAAGTAGTTCCATAGGCCTCTGACAGATGACAAAGTCATCCGTTTCAAGCTGGGAAGAAAACGCTGAAGGAACTTCATCTTTTATACCTTAAGCAATTAATATAAAATATTGTATCAGTTTTCCAGACCAGTACCATGCAAATTTCAACAATAAAAGAGATCAGAGTGTTCAGTTGAATCCTTAAAAATACAGAGATATAATTCACATCAATCTCAAACTGGAGGGAGCATGGTTTGGTAATCAAATTGTTGGTTCTTTTCAATCTTTAAATGTTAGAGAACCTAAGAGTCATGGGTGATGAGAGAGAAAAACTGTATTTCCCAGTATAAAGGAAGTGCAGTCTGATTTTTGAAGAAAGTGACACATTTTTATAAAAATCATTGTGTGGGTAATTTAGAATGTGTCTGCCCTAAAGGAAGTAACGCTGAGCTGAGACAAACAGCTACAATGGCATACCGAATGTGGTTTTAGCCTGACTTTGCTTAAGCAAGTACAGGGGGTCCCTTTAAGCACAGACCTCAGATAGCCTCAAGCAGCAGCCCCACACAGTAAGTCCTGACCTGGTGCCCTGCTAGAACTGGTTCCGACCAGCCTTAAATGTGATTCAGAGTCCACTCAGTGTGGACGCGCTATTTTGAAATAGCAAAATGCTATTTCAAAATTCATTTTGTGTGTAGATGTGTTATTTCGAAATAAGGTATTTTGAAATAACACTGTATTGTAGACGTAGTATAGACATATCCTCAGAGTAACAGAGAGCAGTGAAGCTGCAGGAGGGAAGATTACATCCCAGTCCTGATAGGAGAGGGCAGTGGGGGTGAAGAGACTCTTGAAGTGAGCCTGAGAGAAGGCCCCCAGGCACAGAGGCTTGGGAGTGAAATGGAGTGGAGTCCAGGATCCAAACTAGGGTCAAGACTTCAGGGAGGTAACTTCCTGCAGGGAGCCAGCATTCTTCAAAAGAATGAAGAGCTGGGGATGAGCTAGAATGGAATAAGCTTGGGAAAGATGCAGATGTTGCTTCTATAACTTTCGATTTGAGTTTGTGTGACCCTGGAAGCCACTCAGGAGAGCCCTGTGCATCTGCGAATGTGTATATCCATGGACATTTTTGCAGATATTGTATCCGACATAGATACAACTGCACAGGGCTCTACTAACCAGTAGCATTTGGCTCAGGCAGCCCTATGGGTGCAGCACACTCCAGGCCAGCAGCCAGCTGCCTGTGGCTGACGCAGCACCTGCTTGCCATGCTGCTTCCTGTCCAGCATCCCCACCATGGCCTGGTCCAGAAGCACTGGTTGCTCTCCCAGTCCCAACTCACAAGCTCCTGGGCAGCGAGGCCTGCCATGGGAATGGAGCAGACGGGACACTGGTGTCCCATCCCTCCACCTCACTGGGATGCAACACACACTGCTGCTCGCTGCCATGTTCATTGCTTGTGAGCCTCTGGGGAAGCGGTGGGCAATAATTTTGGGTTGGAGGCATTGCAAGATTTTGGTAAATGGTCGAGTTCTGGGATGGAGTCTGGGTGCAGAAGGAAGCTTGGGTTAGGGCACTGGAGGTGTAGAAGAGGATGTGGGGTTTGAGAGAGTTCAGGTGAAGGAGTGGATTGTCATCTGGGGCAGAGGCTTAGGGTGCAGGGTCCACGAGGGGGCTATGGGTGCAGGAGAGAATTCTGGCCTAGGGGAGGGGTGTAGGAGGGACTGCAGGGTTGGGGAGGGAGTTGTGACCTGGGAGAAGGGGAAGCAGAGGGTTTGGGTGATGACCTGTTGGCAGGAAGTGGTGGTGGCCTGGGGCAGGGATTTGTGGGGAGGGGCTGGGGCACCAGTGGCAGGCTGTGGCCAGGAGGAGCTTACTTAGGTGGCTCCTAGCCAGTGGCTCTTTAGCACGCTGCAGCAGGCTGTTGCAGTCCCAGTCTGCTCAAACTGGCTGGCTGCTTCTTGTGGCTCTCTGCTCCAGCCACCAGGAGGAGGGAGCTTTCTGCTTTACCTATGTCCCCAGTAAAGTGATCACCCAATAAGGGTGATGCTTACCAGTTAACCAGTTACTTCCCTAACTTGAAGAAGTATCTGCACCAGAATAAAATGCCAACAATGTGGAAAAAATTCATTTCCAGAATCAGTGACTGCCTCTGTATCACAGGCAGCAATGTGTGGGGGGGGAGCACTTAAAAAGCTGGTATCCCCAAGCACTGTCTCTGTGGGGAAAACGGGGTGGCAGAGATGGAGCAGAAAACGGACTGAGGCAGTCCGCACTCACCCTGGGTTCCCACTGTGCTGCCTCTGCCTTTGATATATAGCAAGAGCCCTGCGGATTGCCCGCTGTGTCTATCTGTCTTTTAAATGTAGTAAGAGCTGCAGACAGCTCTTACTACATTAAAAGGTAGAGCCACAGCCAGGATAGCGAGCACCCCGCCCCACCCCTTATCAACTAATCGATGGAAATTCCATCCACTACTCTATTAGCTGATTAATCGAAATTTAGCACCCCTACCCCAGAGATATGAGATGGGAAATAGGGGTATTTTAAACAATGCCAGAAGATGTATATACACCCCAATTTATATACACACAGCCACAGTCCCTACAGAAAATGACAATAGGATAGGCAGGTGGATTTGAAAGCCGAGGAATGGGACAGGGAAGGGTTTAAGAACATCTTCCCTCAGAGTTTCAGAGAAATGTTCTTAAATCTAAACCCATTTACTTGGGATTTGCTCTATTTATAAAGATTCTGCCCTTCAGGAAGTGAAGGATAGCTTATTTCCATACCCTAAAAAGGCAAAATATTAACATAGTATAGGACTACACCGGAGCAATTTTTATTACCTGAATAGGAGGTACCGCACTTGGAAACATTCGGTGTCTTCCTTAGCTAACGCTACTGATTCCAGTGTTACCAGTATTCCGCATAGTCTACTTTCCTCCCCAAGTAGTTCCATAGGCCTCTGACAGATGACAAAGTCATCCGTTTCAAGCTGGGAAGAAAACGCTGAAGGAACTTCATCTTTTATACCTTAAGCAATTAATATAAAATATTGTATCAGTTTTCCAGACCAGTACCATGCAAATTTCAACAATAAAAGAGATCAGAGTGTTCAGTTGAATCCTTAAAAATACAGAGATATAATTCACATCAATCTCAAACTGGAGGGAGCATGGTTTGGTAATCAAATTGTTGGTTCTTTTCAATCTTTAAATGTTAGAGAACCTAAGAGTCATGGGTGATGAGAGAGAAAAACTGTATTTCCCAGTATAAAGGAAGTGCAGTCTGATTTTTGAAGAAAGTGACACATTTTTATAAAAATCATTGTGTGGGTAATTTAGAATGTGTCTGCCCTAAAGGAAGTAACGCTGAGCTGAGACAAACAGCTACAATGGCGTACCGAATGTGGTTTTAGCCTGACTTTGCTTAAGCAAGTACAGCCCAAAAGCATGCAGAAAGCAATCCAAAATTGTCCATTAACTGTAAGAAAGAAGCATAAGATAAATTACAGGTATGCATCCCATCATTTTAGTTCAGGCCTGTTCCTGCAAGCTATGAGAATTTTAAATGGGAAACCTGTCAACTTGCCTTCTGCCACACATACCACTGATTTAATTTTTTAAAATTCTAATTTCTGATAATCCCCCTTTATACAATGCTGCCCAAATTATTTATATTTTTAAATTCTATTTAAAATAAATGATTTTTACAGTAACCTGTTGACATTTATAAGATTTTTTTCAGCATCACAGAAACTGACTAGACACAGAAGCTGTCTATATACAAAGTTAGTTCAGTCTTTTGCTTTTAACTGCTTTGTTATAGGCCCTGATCCTGCAAGCATGTGCATGTGAGTAATCTCAATGGAAAACAGCCAAGTGTTTGCACGACTGGTGAACAGTCATTTTGATGTTCCATGTAAATATAAAAAGTACTACATTTTCAGACAAATGCAATAATCAAGCTGATGGCTGTCCCTCTAAAATGTTCTGAAAAAGTTTTTCGAGCAGCCAGCTTCCTTGAGCACATTTTGAAATTAATACAAGTTAATCTCCAGATTTATGAAAAGTAGAATTAGATTCCATATTTACCTTCATCTACAAGCTTTTCTGCTGCTCTGATTTGATTTACATATAGTTCAGTATTATCTGAACTTTTCTGAACAGATTCCAGCTTCAGGATTAAAACATCCAATTCCGTAGTTACAGCTATGTACCCAGCACAAAATGCTACTTCTGTAGGGGTGATATTATCAATGTGCAAAATTAAGGAGAGTTCAAAGTCCAATACAGTCAGATCCTGATTTAAGACAAGATATTTCAAGCAGAACATGACTAGTTTATTTTTGCAGCCAACAAGAAGATCTCCATTTACTGGACAACACGAAATGCACAACGGTGGGTCTGAAAGAGGCATTTCCATAATTGACATCTGGACTTTAGAAGATTCATTGTACGACTCTTCTATTTTGTGACCCACCATCCGGACACAAACGCGAGTGTTCTCTGTTGACATGCATCTCCAGTTCATGTAAGCTCGTAGGAAGGTGGCATTGTTTTTCTCCTCAATTGTCACCAAATAATCTCCTGGAAAAAAAAAAGAGCAATAATACTGTGATAACACTAATCAGACATAATTTATACCGTATGCATTCTATTGCTGCTAAATCCAATGCTCTTTGAGGAAAAAAAGTTGTGGAATTAAGCAAGATTTTCTGAAATGTTATTCTTGTTACCAGGTATTTTTCTTTAATAAGAAGAGTTAAAACTATAAGTAATTAATTTTGTAAATGCTTACATCATGACACAAGCTATTTAATGGTAGAAATTCTGTATCATAATACAATACAATTTGTCTGCCAGTTTCCTGAGCAATAATATTGTCAGCAGTATTTAATATTCAATTATAATGATTTTAATATGAGTTATCTAGACCAGCATGTACCTGAGAAGTTTATACAAAAACCCTGGAGTATGTCAGTTAATTTTAATTACCATTGAATCTTGACTTCAGTAAGAAGTTCTGCAGCAGAACCCACTGGCACCCTGCCCCCTATCCACACTGGCACCCTGTCCCCTGCAGTAGAACCCATTGGCACCCCATTCCCACTTGCATCCCGTTCCCCTGCTGCAGAATCCTGTCACCTGCCCCAGCACCCACTAGCACCCTTCCCCAGTACCATGTCCTCTGCTCCCACCATTGCAGTTGGGGCCACATTAGTGAGGTGGGGGGAGGGGTTTGGAGGAGTTATTTTTTTGCATCTCACTTGTGTGGCCCCAGCTGACTTTTCTGTGGGTCAGTGACCCCTGACTCAAAACAGGTTCCCCACCCTTCTCATAAATAAAGGCAATGCTGAAACTTTTTGTGTTTGACATAATATTTTATTTAAAAATTAAGCTTGGCCAGCAAACCCCCAACTGGGGCCAAGCCCCCATCTGGCCGCAGCATTATAATACTCCTGTACCACCACCACCCCCGGACCCTAGATCTGAGCCTATCATACACTGGAACCCCCTGTCCTGAGCCTCTCTCATCCCCAAACTCCTGCAGCCCCACATCCTCAGTCTTCTGCCACAACACTCCTGGACCATCCACACACTGCCCATCTTACTCCTAACTTCCCTGCCCTGAGCCCCTCACATTCTCCAACCCAAACTCCTGCACCCTCACATTCACAAGCATGTGGCTTGCTTAGTACTCCAACCCCAGCACTTCCCATCCTTGAGCCCTCTCCCCGAGCCAGCATCTCCTTCTCTACCTCCTCCTGCATCCAAATTCCCTCCCAGACGACTACAAGAGTTTTTCTGGGACATCAGGAGTATCCTGGAAAAACTCTTCTGTGTCCAGGGATGCATTTGTTCTTCCTCTTTTTTTAGCAGAACAACAAACATGCTCTTTTGGTAATCCCTGCATTCCTCGTTCCATGAGGAATAAGGGGGCTTCCGAAAGAAGGGTTTTTCTGACATTTGGCCCAGCCTAGACAGAATTTTTAAAAAAAGCTGCACTGTAGCCATACCCCGAGAGTGTATAAGGGCGGGGGATAGCAAGTGATGGAGAGGAGGAGAACAAAGGGCAGGGCTTCAAGGAGGGGGTGGGGTTTTGGGGGAAGGATGGGGCGGTAGATCTTGGCTTGTTCTGACATTTAAAAAGTGATCTTGGATATAAAAAGGTTAGAGATCACTGATCTACAGTAATCACACCTGTTGTTTTGCAAACCTAACAAGGTTGTTGATACATTGATATTTTCCCAGATCCAATAACTAGCTTGTTGATACTTTGCATATTTTCCCAGGCCAAATAATCAGCATTATCAGGTGGGAAACATTCAGTATAGATACTTATGTGATCTTCCCAAGTGCTCCTGCACTTCTATGCCAGGTGGCTGTCCCAGAACTTGCTGAAAGTCAACAGTGCATTCCTACACTGTTCCATCTTGAGCAAACAGCTAACTCTTTGAGAATAACAAAAGAATAATAAGAAGCACAAAGCACAAATGGCTGCCTAGAGCATCCAGGCCTGACAGGAGATGCAGACATAAAAGGAATGACTGTGGTACACCACCTAACTTCCTCGACCTCACAATCGCATTTCCACTACAGAAGGAAAGGGAATAAGCTAGGAAATGTAGATGCATGTCACCTCTTTAAAAGAAAGGTGTAAGAACACTAAGCATATTTCCTTCAGCACTCCTGAGCACTTCTGCCTCCTTCCACACTGTACAGGCAAAAACGCCCACTACGCACTACAGTGGTTCTTACCTTTCTATGGCACTTGAGAGCTCTTCGAGTCCCTGATGCTACAATCAGATCTGTGCCATGTGACTCCCTTGAACACAGAAAATAAAATCCCCTCCCATCCATCCCCATCATTTTTAACAAGGGGAAGAATCAAAGACAATCCTGTAGCATCTTGTATTGAAAGAACAGGATTTCGCTTAGGGGTGAAGGAAAGGTTTGTTCAGTGAATCAGGGAAGCAACGGAAAAACAAGAGTGGCAGGTGGAATAAACAGAAGAAACAAGCGAGCTCTGTCTAACCTGACAACTTGTCTCTCTCGCCAACAGAGGCTGGGCCCATAAAAACCACTAGCTACCTCGCCCTCCATGTCTCACAGGAGCAGAGTCCCTTTCAGTGACACAGAGCTGAGGAAAAGGGACTGACAGACGCCCTAACTATCTATCTGGCTGTGTGCATGCACTAGTATGCTTGCACAGTTATAAGTGTCCGCATCTGGGTGGGTGTTATTCTGCACATCACAGCATGGTTGTGTATCATTTTGTTAGGGCATCTGTCAGAAATAGAGAAAAGTGCCCTATTTCCCCCTCGACCCCACCGCAGCCCTGGCTGCCCCGGCCCAGTCGTTTCCAGCATCGCCCTGAGATCTGCAAGAGGAACCTGCCTGCCTAGCACTCGGAACCCCGATGAGCCCCACCTGCTGCGAGCCGAACGGGTGCAGGTTGTAGAGCTGCACCATGGTGCCCTTCTGAGCAGGGGACAGGACCCATCCACACACCACGGCCCAGGGCGGGTTGCAGCCGGAGAGTCCCCGTATAGCGAGCCGGGGAGACCGGGCCTTCCGCTACAGGCACCGCCCTGTCGGGTCAGGTGGGGAGAGGCGGTAGCGCGGGCCACCTGCTGCGAGCCGAACGGGTGCAGGTTGTAGAGCTGCACCATGGTGCCCTTCTGAGCAGGGGACAGGACCCATCCACACACCACGGCCCAGGGCGGGTTGCAGCCGGAGAGTCCCCGTATAGCGAGCCGGGGAGACCGGGCCTTCCGCTACAGGCACCGCCCTGTCGGGTCAGGTGGGGAGAGGCGGTAGCGCGGGCCGCAGCTTCCCAAAAGGGCAGTATCTGCGTCGGAGCGCAAAAGCGCGCGGAGTCTGTGTGCCGGTGCGCGCAGCGCTCCGCTGTCCGTGTATTACTTAATGCGTGCAGGTGTTAGCAAGTGAGTTGCACGCACAACGGTTTGTACGCATATTTACAGCTGCGTGTGCTAGTGTGCACAGCAGTGCCTCCACGTGTGCCAGTGTGTGTATCTATCTGGCTGTGTGCATGCACCAGTATAAGTGTCCGCATCTGGGTGGGTGTTATTCTGCATATCACAGCATGGTTGTGTATCATTTTGTTAGGGCATCTGTCAGTATGAGAGGTGAAAGTAAATTAAATTTCTTACAGAATAGTGATAGAAATGTAGCCGTGTTAGTCTGGTGTAGCTGAAACAAAATACAGGACAATGTAGCACTTTAAAGACTAACAGGATGGTTTATTAGATGATAATAAACCATCTTGTTAGTCTTTAAAGTGCTACATAGTCCTGTATTAAATTTCTTACGGGTTCTGTACTGTCACAACCCTCCCCCTCTGGGGGGAGGCCTTAGGGTGAGGGTGGGGGGGGGTTGTGACACAACAGAACATGTGAGAAATTTAAGTGTGGGATGGAGGGCTAGGAGAGGGGGGTCAGAAGAGGGTTAGGGCATGAGGGGGCAAGAGTTAGGGCAAGGAATATGGGGGTGTAGGAGTTAGAGTTGGGGTGTATAAGGAGGTCAGAGCAGGGGGTGGGGAAGGGCAGGAATCAGAGTTGGAGTGTTTGAGGGACTCAGGGCAGGGTGTTGGGTTGTGGGGGGTGCAGGATGCAGGGGTTTGAGGTGTGGGGAGGAGAGTGAAGGGGGGGCTGATTAACTTACCTGGCTGGGAGTGGGCCACTGCAGACAATCCATCTCTCCTCCTGCCCCAGCCTTGCTGCAACGGGGTTGGGGCCAGGCTTCTGCGGCCAGATGGGGTTGCTGCTAGCCCCTCCTGCCACAGATGGAGGGAGACCACTGAGCCTACCCCGGGGCTGGAGCTGGGGCACTGTGATCCAGCTGAACAGGAGCTGATTCCAGGCTCTTTGCCTGCAAGAGCAAGACCATAGCTGGGCCACCATGGCAGGCACGAGGCCACTGTCAGCCCCTCCTTCTGCAGCCCTGG